ACAACAACAGCAGCAACAGCAACATCGGCATCAACATCACACTGAGGTCATCACCACGGCACTGATCCCCGGCAGGCCGGCGCCGAAGCTGCTCACGAAGGACACCCTGTGTCTTCATCTTTTTTCCGGCGCTTCTGCGTATGATTCATGATCGCTTTCTGATGGCATTATACTGTAGCCCATTGTATTGCTATCACTCCTCCTATCATGTTCATCCCATTCTTATCCAGAATTGTGCCGCTGTGATGCCGTTTGAGTGGGGCAGACAATGTTGGTAGAAATGCAGTGGCGGCACGGTAGTTTTTTTTGTTGTCGCTGTGTTGGCTCCGTCTATGGTTTTACCTGGTCCTGGTACGTTTGCGTTGACACGTTGAGTTAACTATGTGTTCATTTGGTTGTTCTGTTGTCTGAATGTTTAGTTTCCAGTGCAATTGTTGCTTGTACTGGTGATATTGACAGGTTGGCATAACATCATGATCTTGCATGCTGATGGTGTTATTTTGTATTCCTTCGCTTCGCCTTCTTGTTTGCTGACTCCTGAACTCTGGACAGACTTTGGGGTTCTCTGATTGTTGCTGTGTTTATGGCAGCTTCGGTTGCCTGTGGTCACGCTGAGGGTGAAGATAATAATGAATAACGATACTGCTTTCTGTGCTGCACTGCAGCCCTTGTGTTCTACGCTCCATATACTTACTTCGCTTGTCCACAGGAGCACATCGATGGCATGAAGCACGGAAGCGTCGTTGTCGACTTGGCGGCCGAGACCGGAGGGAACGTTGAAACCACCAGGCGAGTTTCAGAACTCTAGTCTATAATCGAGTGATTTGAGTGCCGGCTAAGACCTGTGCGACTGTCTGCAGGCCCGGTGAAGTTTACGAGTACAACAACGTGACGCACATCGGTCTGTCGCTCTATGAGCACATGCCCAGTCGCATGCCTGCGCAGGCCAGGAATCGTGTGGCAATACCCGGCTTTGCATTGGTTTTGTCACGGCTGTCGTATCTGCGAGGCATCGTTCCTTTTCGCCAACAACATGGCGAAGTATTTGTGCAGTATGGGCCCTCCGGGCTACTTCTTCGTTGATTATGACGACGCGCCTAAGTCTGCAAAGCCTCCGGGCCAGCACCTCTCCGGGTCCGTACCTCGCAAGCAGATTCTATAAACCCCAAATATGCACCTTCAACAGCCGAGCATGTGATCCAAGGTGCCGACGCGGGGAGCGATGCTCTGTCGTCACTTGGACTCAGGATGATGCAGGGAGGGACATGCAGAAGCTGGCAGAGTCTGGTTCTGACCGTGGTAGAGCGTAACGGAATGATGCGAAAAGATCACGAATACCGAGCAACACTACTTCCCGGCAAAATCTGCATACCGATGAGCAGGAGAAGCCACAAATGCATTGCTTTCTGGATACCGCTGGTGCGCATGTGCATGGTGCTAACAAATCTGATAATCTCTGTGTCTGAAGTTGCAGAACCGCCTTTGTCGTAGCATCCGTGGGTAGTGCGGGACAGCCGCAAACTTAACTTTCTTACAAAAGCAAGAAACCTTGTGACCTTGTCATCTTTCTTCCCATAAGTCATGGTCATTGTCATCATTCGTAGCCGTAGCCTTACATGTGTTCTGATTACTGTAGAATCGTCGTAGTCGTAGGTCATCAAGTCGCAACTGAGGCCTGCAAACGAAGCTTCTTTCAACCAGTTTTCAAATCCGCAAACAGGGTCCCTCGCCGGTCGCATGAAGAGTCCAGACTCTCATTTCCTTCCCAGGTGACGGCGAATTGACCTGGCCTTGGAGCCCGCCTAAGGTCGAAGCGCCACCAGTGAAGGAGGAGGAGCGACTCACATCTCGCACGGGATCGCACGGGTGTGACGGCTGTGACGAGTTGCCGCTCTGGGTTGCTGGCCCTTTGCAGGAGCCTGCTGAGGTCGCGCCTGTGGCCGAGATGAGCCCCGAGGAGGAGTGTCATTGAAGTCTACCGGAAGTTACAGAGGCAGAAGAATTAAGTCAACAGCATCCGAGAGAGGGTTCGGTGCAAACATCTTCAGAGGAAATACTAAGACTTTACAAACAGAGTCGCCCAACGATTAGTGGCATGTTAGAAACGCTGGTATTGTCGATCGTGGGTAGTAGCCGCAGTACGTAGCAGCAGTAGCAGCAGCAGAGCAGTAGCAGC